TCTAGAACTTTAATATCGTTTTCCTTACCAATATTCATAAATATGTTGTAGCGTGAACTTGTGAACCCCAAACTCGTACACAAAAAATTATTTAGAATAATATATACGTAGTTGACATATTAAATTTACATTTAGAATGAAACAGAAGTGTATATTACTTTCTAAATATTCTTTTTGTCAACAAAATTTAGAGAAATTTTATTTTCGCACACCTAATTAACTTAAGGCACACACTTAATGAAATATTAATTTAATGACAATTATATTCTAAATAAAAATGACCACAATCTAGTAACACTCATAATATAATATAGAAAAAAATTATGTACACATTTTTTAAGAATAAAAAAATCTCAATGTACACATTTGATTTAAAAAAAATTAAACTCTAATTTTTCCATTGTTGTCACTTTGCTTGAACTAACAATCCAGTAGAAAACCATGCTCCATTTTGTTCAGTGATGAAGAATACATGGTGGAAGTCTTGAACAAACAATCCAGTCAAAAACCTTGCTCCATTTTGTTCAGTGATGAAGAACAGGGTAAGAAATGCAATTTTTGATTTGGAACCCCATATAACTGACTGGCATTTCAGTGGGGCTAGTGGCCCAATAATCCAATCACAAAAAAGACCAAAAAACAGAAAAACTAGAGGTTCAATAGAGGTCTCCTATGCAAGTTTCCAATGAAGGAAATTTTATTTTAGACCAAAGTTTTTTCCAAGGTCGTGGGTGGGTTAATGTGGAAGTAGGATCAATCAAAAGTATGGAAAAAGGGTTAGTGGTGTGTGTACAATGGTTATAAGTGAATAGTGTAATTGTAACTTTAAGTGTGTGGATTGAGAAAATTAATTGATAATCAAATTAATAGGTATGTGTATTGAGAAAAGATTTGCCTTGAGTTAATTAGGTGTGTGGAAATAGAATTTTCCCAAAATTTAGGCTTCGTATGGGAAGTTGGGTTGACTATTTTGCTTTTTGATTATTTTAGCCCATGCTAAAATATTTATTTGAATTGACTTTTTAAACTTTTTTTTGAGAGAAAAAGTAAAATGATTATGATTTAGATGTGACATTTTATTTTGTTGACTTTTTAACCTATTTTATTTTTTTTGTGACTAATTTAGCCAAAAAACCAACCCAACTCAATCACCAAATGACACCCTAATATTTAGCATATTGATTAGGATATAAGAGAATACTTACACATAGAAAGAGAGAGAAGGGATGAGACTGGTGACTCTTTAAGACAAAACTTGAAAATAGAACATAGAGAATGATCAATATGTGTAGACCTTTTACTTGACGAATTCAAGAGGGTGTTAAGTCCGGGAATTTTAATATAATTGAAATTCAAAAAGAGTGATTGTTGAATCAATAATGATATATTTATATTTTATACTCATAAATGCATTTATAATGATGTGATAAGGATGGTAAATCTTATATTAGTGAGCCTGTAACTAATCAAAAATTAATACTTATCAAATTAAATCATTCTGGATTAATAATAAAGTGGAAACCGTTATTGTAGTCTCTGCACAATTGAAATCTTGATGCATTTCTCCCGATAGACAACCCAGAGAGAGACAACAACTTATTGGTTTGTGAGCACCCATGCGTGGTGGTGGTGATGGGTTCTTCAATAAGAGCAGCCCCCTCTTTGGATTCCCACAGTCATGCATGTAGCGAGTTTTTTTCCCTCCTTGCAAGATGTGCAAGATGGGCTTGTTACCTATTGACTAGTTGGACCACCATCTTAGAGGTAAAAGTCTTGATTTGGACCAAGTCAAGATTTTAATGGGCCAACTTTAAAATTTGTGAGCCCTTCCTCATCTGGGCCATCAAAATCAACCCTTCCAGCCCATTGCTCCAAAAAATGTAAAAGGAAAGAAGGCCAACACTAAAGTTTGGACTGTGAGATGAGAATTTCTCATTAGATGAGAAAACAATAAAAATAATTATGGTTTCCCACCTTCTTATTTGAATAGAATATGATTAAAAGAGTGATTTTTGTTTTTAATCAAATCTCACAGTTTTTGATGAAAAACAAAACGTAAGTTCGGTATAATTTGACTTTCTCACAATTTCTCTTCATTTTTCACTATTACACTATTACTCACCTCATTAATCATCCAAATTAAGTGTCAGTCAAATAAAGCATTAGACGATTTTCGCCTTTCTCTTTAAGCTTTCCAGACGATGTTTTGGAAAGATTTCAAAAGCACAATCCTTATCTTCTTCTAATGATCTGGCCTTCGAATCTTCAATTTCTTCTTAGAGCATCTCCAATGGTAGTAGGCATTTTACCTATCTAAATATTACTATAAAGTATACATTTTATTTTGCCTGTCAACGATTTCATGTTTCTACCCCAATCATGCTCTTTATTTTAGCTATTCATCCAAATACTATTAACTTTATAGAATGCCACGTCAGCAACAAGGATGGAGGGAAATAATCTTAATAATTAAATACATTTTGCCTAGCCTTGAAGGCTAGCTACATGTAGCTAGTGAATGTGAGCTGAGCCAAAATGCCTAAGCATATGCCTAGTGCATTGGAGTTGAAAAAAGTAGGTCACATTAGGCATTTTGACTAACTAGCATCATATGCCTAGTGAGTTGGAGATGCTCTTATACTCTATTCGCAACTGTAATAAAAGGTTTTGTGAAGTAAGCAATCTTCTATCTCGATCAAGCCGAGTGTGCTCTTCAAGTTGCAAAAGTTTTGGAAATTAATTTTGAAAGCAGAGAGAAAGTATTAATCAATCATTTCATTGAAATGGGTCAAATAACAAGGCAAAGTTCTCCAAAATTAAGAATTGCAAGAAACAAAAGCTTCTTTCATGGATTGTAAAAGGATTTGGGATGCCAGAATAGAAACGTATGGTAAAAATCTTGTTACTTCTCGTTGTATTAATGCGTTTTCATTGAAGAATCGAAGCTTTTGTCTCTCTCGAACTGGATTGTCCATGAGATTTGACATAAAATGTAAGAATGCAAAATATAATTATCTCAAATAATTTTATAAAATAGGACTTCCCACTAGATACCTCTTAAATCTAAACTAAGCAAAAATTATCACATGAATTAGGAACATCACATAGTGGTGTGTCCTTCCAATAGTGTTTTCTAGCTTGTGTACCAAATATTGTTGTTTTTCAAACTATGTAATAAGAATTTAATCTATATTATTTGGAGCACACAACAAATATTATATTTTCACATATAGGATAATTACTCTTACACTTTGTTTGGATTGAGGGATTTAGTAAGACAAGATAAAAATAAAAATAGAAAAAAATAAGGTTTCTTATCAATTGTTTAAATGATTAACAAGTTAAGAAATAATGAAAAATGAAGAGAAATGATGAAAAAGGCAATTCGCCAAAGACTTAAATTTTGTTTTCACAAAAAGTGGTGAGATTTCATGAGAAATCAAAATTATTCTTTACAAAAAATTCATAATACCTAAGCTACCCTTTAAATACAATACAGAAGAGATAAAAAGTTACCCTATCCGTTTCAAAATATCTCTTATTCTATTTTTTATTATTTCAAAATATTAGTCTATTTTCAAAAATCAAGAAATAAAATAATATAAATTTACTATTTTGTCCTTCTTTTAAATTCATTAATAACACAAAAAGTACAACTATGGCAATTGATATTTTTAAAAAAATGTACTATCAAAGGGTAATTTTAAAAAATTAACATTTTAAAAATATAATGATTGAACTATCAAAAAAAACTTATAAATTTCTCAAAAGGAATCATTATTTTGGGACGGAGGAAATACATATATTCTTACCTTCTAAAAAAGATAGAAAAGTTTGGAAACCACACTTACCTACCCAGAATTTTTTGAGAGAGTGATTGTGTGTTGGAGATTAATTTGTGTAATATAAAATCTATGTGAAGTGTGGTGGAGGTTAATTTATGAATTAATAAATTTGAGTTTGTATTGTGGTATTACTCAAGAAAAGATACATAATTCTTGCTGTCCAAACAGGGTGTTAAATTGATTGATCAAAAACAGCGCGAACTTCCCGTGAAATTCTATACCTGCCCACGTGGAGTCAGTTACAAAATCACCAGACATGTCTCTTCCTCATTAACGCATTCCATTTCAGTTTTCATCTTCTACCCACAAATCCCTCTCTCTCTCTCTCTCTCTCTCTCTATTCGGGCTTCTAATATTTTGCGAATTCCTTGGGCAATCTTCAAATGTGGGTACGTCTTCGTCTTCTCAATGGACTCTTGGTTTCTTTGATTTTCATAAATTAGATTAGATAGATAAAAATAAAAAAATTAATAAATAAATAAAAAGAGGTTCTCTAGATCCATTGTTTCCGTAAAGACTATCCTTTTTTCAAGATTGCGTATTGAATCAGATCAGATGCTTTGTTCTTCTGTTGTAAATATGTGTATGTTGCTGTAAATGGGGTTTCCTTTGGTAATCTGAAAAGTTTTGTGCTGTGGATGAACAAGAATTAAGGGCTAATGTTGAATTCTTCTAGAATGTAGTTATCCACTTTGACATGCCATCTCTTTGCTATTTCTTTATTTTGTAACCTTATTCATTCATTCTTATCAAAATTGAATTAATTTGCTTTCCTTCTTTGAAATTGAAGAGAGCCATTAAGTTTCAATGTTGTTTTGTGAAGTATTTTTGAGGAAAAAAATATTGATTTTCTAGTTGTTGATGGGAGCAAAAGGAAAATCCAAAATGTATGATCTATGATTTCCTTGGCATATATAGAACCTATGAAGTATATACACAGGTACTGGATATGAGATACAGATAGGGTGATACAACAAAATTTAAAACAACAGGATATGTGTACGACTATGATAGGTCAAAAAATAATATATAATTTTTAGTATTATATATTATACACGACCTCAAATAATAGTGAAATACCATTCTTTAGTATTCTATATTTTTTTAGTGAAATACCATTTCCTTGTAATTCCCAAAAGTTCCCAAATTGTTACCATTTCCAAGATGAGCAAAAGAACTCACCAAAGTAGAATTTTAATCCTTGGTATTTAGCCAATTGGTGATCTTCTTATTTCGATTTGAATTTCAAAATAAAAGATCAAAAAATGCAACTAAAGAGAAATTCTATGACCCACTTGAACAAGCCAAATTCACAATTATTACTCTTTAAGAATGCTCATAACCAGTGTTTAAAACTTCGACCACCATTGGTTTTGCCTATTCCCGATACTGCTATCTGCTTCTTTAGCAGGGAGAAGTAAATTTACAATGTGATGGGCCGCTACGATATCACTTTAGACAACAAATTGTTTTAAAAGATTTATTTATTTATCAGTTGTTTGTCCCTTCCAATCTATTTTGTTTCTCAGAAAACTGAGTGTAGGCGTCTGAAAAACTCTTACATCTGCAAGATTTAGTCTTCAAATCTGTAACTTTGGTCTCTTGATCTTCAACCCAAAGTTGCCAAGCAAGGTAAGATTAAAAAAGAAAAAATCATTATTTTTTCAGCTGAATGTAGGTAGATTTTTTTAATGTTCAACTTATTTCTACTCTGTTTTAGGTTAGATTTGTTCAACAAAGATTGGATTCTACTCTCATCTATTCATTTTAGGCCCTGATTCTTGAAATCAAGTGATTATTAAGGTAAATGTTTTTCCTTTATTTCATTAGCATAAGGAATATGAATGAAATTATGGAATTCAGAATGTTTGAATTGATTAGTATATTTAAGTGATTTACAGATTATAATTTTATAAATTTTATAATTTATAGCTTTTATTTTACTTTTTATTTGTATCTCATAATGCATGCTATCAACTTATTATGACATATAACTTTTCGAGGGCCTGCTCATATAACACCTAGCTTATTGATGAATTCAACCTTATATGTTACTTTTGTTAGATCGCTAATAATCCCAAAAGGTCAAGTTGTGTGGAAAGAGGCCCAACAATGCATATTGAGCTCTCTGACACCCTCCTCATGTGCAATCCCGTCTTGCATGTGGAGATGAAAACATCCTAACATGTGGAGAAACAAAATGCAAACAAGGAAACAAATGCATATAGAGAACTTGAACCTAAGACCTTTATTAACTTGTGGTTTGGCACCTTATTAGATAATCACCAGTAGTCCCAAAAATTTAAGACCTTAGGAAAGGGGCCCAACAATCATCACTTTGCTCTCCAATACTGTCACTTGGATTTATCCTTGAAAATGAATTTTCAGTTAGTCTTGATGCATTACTGCAGTATGTACTAAGCATTGTAGTCTATCAGGGTTACTTGCACTTCTTTACCCCTTTACATCATTTTCAAGTATGGCTAGTCAGAGTGTTAATGTAAATCATGTATGATGTATCCACTTCCGACTGTGTCATTTACATGTAAGTTTGTGCACTTTTGTGTTATTTCTTCCCTGAGAAGAACCTAATTGGGTCTGTGATGTGCAGGTCCCCATGGATCATACCAATTCAAAGATTGGAACAGATGCACCACCAAGCAGTACTCCAAACTGGACAATTAACGTTTCAGATGTGAGGAAAATGCTTACTAAAAGTGCACACTAGTTGGTGCTTATAAGTTCTTTTTATTCATAAACTGGACATCAGTGTGAATGACTAAACCACTAGTTGGTGCTTATAAGAACTGCTTTTTATGAACTGGGTATCAGTGTGAATGACTACACTTTTGTCTTTAAATTCCTATATTTGGATATGTTTTTCATCTCTTTAAGAACAACAACAATAATAGTGGTAATGGTAATAATAATTTTATGTCACCAAGATGATGAACACAGAATTTTGGACTTTGTTGAAGTGATTGAGATTCTGTCTTGTGTGAATCTATTATCTGCCCGTTTAACCAATTTTGATTTCTTTAAATTTTGTTTTGCAAGTGGCAAGAACCATGCCGCATTCAAAATTCAGTTAATGCAATTTGAATGTTTCTTTTCCGTAATCACATTTTCTTAGTGATTACATGTACGTAGCTATTATTTTTACTCTTTTTTTATTTTTTTTTATTTCATAGGCAAGAACAGTTAAAGTCAGTAATATCTCACTAGCTACCTCTGAGAAGGATATTAAGGAATTCTTCTCTTTTTCTGGTGATATTCAGTATGTTGAAATGCAAAGGTCAGCTCTCTTGACTTACCCAGTGTTAAATTTCTTGCATAATCAATGCTCAATAAAGTTTGTGGCACGTTCTGCAGGGAAACTGAAACATATCAGCTTGCATATGTTACCTTCAAGGAATCACAGGGAGCAGATACAGCTATGCTTTTGACAGTATGTCAATTGATTTCTATATCAGTCTTGATCCCAAATTTTTTCATTTAAAATAAAAAGATTTTGGCTGAACGATGCAGTTCTGCACAATGTTGTAGAAATCAAATGTATAGGGAAGGCATGAAACCCTAATGCATGAAACATATGCCTTATATTTTGTAAAATTAGGAAATTTCTAAAATATTCAGTTTAACAAAGATGTACTAAGAAAAATACAAAAAGAAAAGAAGATAACAAAACTTTACTTGCGTAGAAAAAACTCTCAGTTAGGGGCTCACTCCTTGGAAATTTTTTGTCATGTGAACCGCAAGGTCTCACCTGAACAGTTTTTTAAGCCTCCTGATGGGAAGCTTGGATGTGTAAGCTTCCCAATCTTTAGAAATATTTTTTATGCAAATGGGTGTTGTTTCAAAATTTCTATTAACCCTTAGATTTATTTTATATTTTTATATTTTTGGCCTTTTTGATTCAGGGATCCACAATAGCCGATCTTTCAGTCTCTATAACATGGGTTGAGAATTACCAGCTGCCCCCTGATGCTCCTCCGCTAACCCCTGTACGTACCACGACTTTTAAAAATAATACTTTGGTATCTGTTTTTATAATACTGTTCTATCTATTCATTCTGAAAATTTATAGATAATGCGAATGTAAAAGAAGTTGAATGGGCTAATGCCACGTAAATTGGTCATGGACCTACTTACCTGATCCTGAGGCCCACATTGTAGTTTTTTGGAAACCCTAGTCGCTTTACTCCTAGAAGGATATAAAACCAAAGAAAATTATCAAAGAACAAGAAAAAATAATAATGATGGTGACAATAACAACAAAATAAATAACTCTAAAAGAGAGAAATGAATGACATAGGAAAACTTCTCGATGATCAAGGTGTGATATGGTGGTAATTGTACAAGACTGAAAACTCCCCTCCTTAGGCTGTGTTTGCTTGAAGGATTTGTAGAGAGAAAAGAAATAGGAAGGCAAAGTAAATAAAATAGAAATTGTATTTTTGTCACATTTCCCTTATTTTTTCCTTTCCCACCACTAATCCCCACTCAAATCCTAGTTCCAAACACAATCTTAATGTCACAGGTTTGCTAGTTGTTGTTCATGTCTTGATGGTCAAAACCTTCTGCTGATTGCAGCAGCAACCAAAAACGGGTCAAACTCTCTGATATTTTAATCAGTGAAGAAAACAACCTAGAAAACTTTGAAAGTGATTATATATTTGAAACCAGGTAAACTTATAAGGGGGACACACATGTCCATTACTTGGAAAGACATGAAACACATTATAATTTTGAACAAAATAACTTGGAGGATATATTAATAAAAGAAAAAAAACAATATAGATTTATATGTATTAATCTCTCTTCCTTTAAACATAGGAATTAGTATTATATTACATTTTTTTATTATGTTTAAATGGGATATTCATAAATATGTCATGTAATATATATATGAACCTATATATTTTGCATGTGTCCCTCATGTATCATGTTCTTCAGTTTTTGACACATGTTCGTGTTCGTGTTCATGTCTGTGGATCTTAGACACCCACCTTTTGGTGATTAAGAGAGGCAACCTTTAAGATAACCCATCTATTTAAAATGTACAGGTACAATTATTACACGTTACACTGGAATGAAACAACAGTATAAAAATAACCTACTTGTATAGATGCATATCAACCTGTGCCTTGTGGATAACTGAAATCATGTATGAACCATTCATCTTTGCGTGTAGCAAAGTAATTGAAATAAAATTGGTCACTATACATGTCCATTTTCTGTTAAACCAATGAAATATGTTATTTGAAATAAATTTAAACATGACCTAAGACATCTGTAGGACCACTATGGTTTTGGTGGCACCTCATCACAATTCACATGTAACGGTAAGACTGAATCACATTGAGCCCCATGCAAATTTTCTTTTAAATGGAAGAAGTTAGATAAGACGAAGAGAAATGTTGTTTTTGTTCTTTATACAAGAACCTCTTTGTGTATGGTTTTTTTTTTTTTTTTTTTTTTTTGTCTCTTATTTTTCCCTTTAGAAGGAGACAAATTCAAGTCCCAGCGGTTCAACTGTTGAAAAGGCTGAGGATGTGGTGAGCACCATGCTTGCCAAGGGCTTCATCTTAGGAAAGGGTACCCTAAATAAGGCAAAATCTTTTGATGAGCAGCACCACTTGACAGCAAATGCATCTGCTACAGTTGCTTCCATTGACCGCAAGATGGGGTTTACTGAGAAGATAAGCATAGGAACAGCTGTGGTGAATGAAAAGGTGAGGGAGATGGATGAGAAGTTCCAAGTGACTGAAAAGACGAAATCAGCCTTTGCAGCTGCTGAGCAGAAGGCTAGCAGTGCAGGGACTGCTATGATGAGCAATCCTTACGTATCAACAGGAGCTTCATGGTTTTCAAACGCATTCAGTGTGGTTACAAAGGCAGCTGAGGATGTCAGCACTATGACAAAGGAGAAAGTTGAAAAGGCTGAGGAGGAAAAGAAGGAGATTATTTTCAAGGATAGAGAAGCAATAGTTAACGACTTTGCTCGGGTTCATCTTGATGAGCCCTTGGCGGGAGAGCAGCTTGCAGTGGTTATTGCTAAGTCAGCTGATGACAATAATCCTGCAACCATATGATGCTGCAATCCTTTTTTCTTTTCCCTATAGAAACTTGGATTCCTCGATCTTTTTGCTGTGTATCTGTGATATATGGGGAGCAAACAGGTTTTTTCTTTACTTCTCTATGCTCTAATAACACCAAGATTGTGTATATTATATATATAGTATAGTGTTTCTTTTTAGTCATTTTACGTAGAAAAATATTTTCTGACTAGCAGTCTTTTGGTCCTATTTGTTTTCCCGGATCTCGTTTCAAATAGAAAAATATTTTCCGACTAGGATTTCTTTCGGTTACTTCTTCTGAATAGGAGTTTGATCTCAAGTCAAGCTTATTCTTTTTGTTCTTGTGCTATTTTCCACCAATGATTTTTATTACCCTGTTCATTATTTCATCTGAAGCTTAGTTCTTGACAGAAAGAGCAGGGTTTGTGTTCTCCATTTTAGACACTGGAGACAAGTAAAGGAAGCAAAGTTGTTGCTTGCTACAATTTCTCCATGGTTTCTTACCGGGATGCTCCGGTTCAAGTCTTACCCTTCCACCATGCAGCTTCCCCTTCCCTCAATTTCCCTCCTATGTATTGTAAAAGATAAATAAATTACCATTTTGAAAGGGTCTGAATTTGATAATCAGGGAAACCTAGCATTTCACATAAAGCTCAACATGCTAATAGTGAAAGAGTATGACATTTGGTACTTTCTTGTCAATTATTCAGCAAGTTTTGAAATCATGAATTTTTATTTTCTTTTTTATTTCCATTTTTTAGTAGTTAAGTCGTATTGTTATGCAGAAATAGAATGGGGGTTAGATGAAAGTTGAGGTCAAGTGGAACAAGAGGTCATCAAGCAAAGTGGAGTTTGAAAGAGTTAAGGTCATGTTTGTTTGGACAAACATGGCATTGAGATTAATAATTCTACAAAATATATAATTTGATATTTGACTGAGAAAATTAAGATCCACACTAATATGCATGATATCTCCATTGTGTAGCTGCGGATTGGGTGGTCTCTGTTGTTCTTGCTTATCAGTGTGGTAGTGTAATGATGGTGGTGTTTGGGAAGTTTGTGTTTTGGTTTTTTATTTTTATTTTTTTACTAAAAGACAAATTGGTTACAAAATAAAAAAAAAAAACTATCCAAACAAAATATCACATCAAATCCCATAATTATTTCACTTTTTCTCTCACAAAAATCACATTCAACCACAAAAAAATCTAACTATCTTTCCAAACACAAAAAAATTTTTCTTCAATAATGTTCTACAACTAAAAAAACTTATAAAAAGAAACTCACTTCTAAAACATCCATGATATTAGTATGATTTTAGTTTGAAATTTTTTTTTCCTTTTTTAAAAGTAAAAAACCTTTCCATCCAAATAAATTTATTTTTCGTTAATTATGAAAAACATTTTCATTGAACTTTAGTTTCCTATTGCAACAAATGTCAAAAAATATATAAAAACATTCTCTAATATTTTTTGTTCAAATAAACAGATTAATAATGACCGAATCAAAGGGACGACACTACTGGCTGTATTTTAAATAAATTAAGGTATAACTTTATAAAATCTAATTGATAAGAGCCTTAGGTTTTTATATGAATTTACATAATTAAATTAATTCAAATAGTGGTATAGTTTATTGTGGACATAACTAGACACAAGATTATAGACAAATTTTGGGAGGTGATGAGACATAAGATACCTTATCACATTGCAATCATATGTCTGATTTGAATTTGCATACTTAAATTAATTTCCGTTACAGTTTATATATATATATATATATTTTATTGGGGAACAAGAAAATAATTTTCAGATACTCATGTTGTTCATGATATTAATATTGCTAATATTATTACATTGGTTGAGATTTAGCTTGACTAAAGTGGATGACAATAAGATTGGAATTGTTGGGTTTGCTATATGCTTGGATCCGTATTATTAGACTATTTTTTAACGTCAGAACGCATACAAAAGAAGAACGTAGTTTTAATATTTTCTTTTCATTTTTTTAAGAATGAAGAATCACTTTGCAATCATGAGCCTGCTTACCTCGATCATTCAAATGACAATACACCAACCATATCATTTTGAAAGGAAATTAAGATTTTGCAATGTAAACATTTTACATTTATAATTGGACGATTGTGACTTGTAAGCAAATACCTTATTTAAATAGGGTATTCAATTAAGGGGTTGTAATATGTTTGGTTAATCTTTTAGTCACCAAATCTCTCTTAAAAGGAAAATCTTGGGGTAATACTATTAGAAGTGAAATAGGAGATAAGATTAGAAGTAGAATGGAAGACAAGACAGAAGTGCTTGCCAGGACAAAGTGTAATTTAATTCTCCCTAAGTGCTAATCTAATAACTAATTATTAACTTTCGTAAAACTTCATGGACAAAATTAACAAAATTGAAACGGTAAGGATTGTGATTTGAGTTAATGAAACCTAAATTTCATCAGAATTGTTTATGTTAAGCAATCTTTTGGGTACATAATTTGATTATGAAAAATGTTTGAGACATTTAATTTATCACCCCTAAAGACCATTCTTAATGATGTGTCTGACAAATGTCAAATTTTAATTTGTCTAAAATTCCATCACGTGGGGTCTAATCTCAACACTATATCATTAGAAGTGATAAATTAGATGGATGTAGTATTGTTGAATGGTTAATTGAGTACTATCTTTTGCTGTTAGAGATTTTAATGGTAAAGCTGGTGACGACACAAATGAGAGCAAAAAGGTTTTTAATGAAGTTAGGGGTTGTTAAAATGTCAAAAAATAATGACATTACACAAAATGTATATAAAATTAAGGTTAAATTACACTTACTCCTCTTGAAATTTGAAAAAATATTGTTATCTCCATACTTTTAACATAATTACACTCATCTTTCTCAAGATTTTGAGTCATATAATAATTGGGCTATTTTTTCATCAATAATTTATTAGCCGTATGTATTAATGATACCAAATCTTCTATTCTCTGGAATGGTGAAATTCTGGATGGCATTCTTATTGAGCGAGGACTTAGACAAGGTGATCCCCCATCACCCTACTTATTTGTGCTTTGCATGGAAAGGTTATCCAACATGATAAACCTTAAAGTAAGTGAGGGATCATGGCATGGAATCCAAGCTTCTAGGAATAGCCCCCCTCTATCCCATTTGTTTTTCGCTGATGATTTTATTTTGTTTGCTAAAGCTGACCACTCCAACTGTGAAACTGTTATGGATGTCCTTAATGACTTCTGTGAGATCTCTGGTTAGAAAATCAACCATTTGAAATCCAAAATCTTTGTGTTCTCCCAACCTCTCTTCTACCCAAGCTAGGTTCCTAAGTAACCAGTGTGGTATCCCTCTTACTCAAGACCTTGGTAAGTATTTGGGATCTCCACTCCTTCACACAAGGACTAGTAAACATATTTTCAATGAAGTTCTCGAGAAACTGAAGTCTAGATTATTAGGTTGGAAAGCTAAAAATCTCTCCCTTGTAGGTAGGATTACTCTCATTCAGTCAGTTACTCCTACTATCCTTTCCTACAATATGCAAACAATGAAACTCCCTAGGAAAGTTTGTGACGAAATAGACAAATCAATAGGAATTTCCTATGGAGTGATACTGAGAATAAAAGGAAAATACATCTTGTCAATTGGGACAGTGTATGCAAAAGTAAAGAGGATGGTGGCCTTGGAATTAGAAAAACTAGAGAGCAAAATTCAGCCCTCCTCACCAAACTTGAATGGACTTTACTAAGTGATAATAGCAAACTCTGGTGCCAAATCCTTCAATCCAAATATTTTAAAAATCATTTTTTCTTTAGCTGGCCCCAGAAAAAGACTTCATTCTATATCTGGAAGAGTATCTGTCACACTAGAGATACCCTCAGAAATTGTGTTAAGTGGAGAGTAGGCACTGGTGATACCATCTCTTTTTGGAATGACTGGTGGTGTGGAACATAGACATTGGCCAATAATTATAACCCCACTCATGCCAATGATTCAACCAAGGTCAGCAATGTTCTTGATAATGAAGGGAATTGGGACACTGATATCCTTGCCAACCTTGTGAACCAATAGGACCTCCAAGAGATCATAAAGATCAATAGGCCCAGATTTGTGACCTACCCAAATGCCCCCTCCTGGAATGTGTCCACTAGTGGTATTTTTACCACTGCCTCTGCTTACAAAGCTATCACTACTGAAGAAGGAGATGGCAGAGATTGGAAATAGATTTAGAAATTGCAATTTCCTCATAAATTAAAGTGTTTCCTCTAACTTATTTTGAAAGGCAGATTACCTACCAAGCACTTGAGGCTTGTAAGAAACATGGAATCATCTGATCTTTGTCCTAGATGTGGGCTGCTTAGTGAGGATATGAGTCACCTCCTCAGAGATTGTCCCACTTCCAAAGCTTTCTGGACTGAAATCACCAATCATATCTGGTGGTAGCAAGAATGTGGTCAACCTTTGTTTGAATGGGTTTCCTCAAATTTGAAAAATAAAATGTTGTTTTGTGGTTTTAAATGGCCCCTCATATTTACTGTCACTCTTTGGCATATTTGGAAGGAGCGTAATTCATTGGTTTTTGAAAACATTTTGGTACCCATTCAAACCAGTCTTAAGAACATAAGGACTTATGTTCAAGGGATTGAACATGCTTTCCACTCCCCTCTCCACCTCAACACTTCTCATCCCAGACTAATCCACTGGTCTTTTCCATATGCAAGTTAACTCAAACTTAACACAGATGGATGCTTTAAAGGTGACCCAGGCCAAGCTAGGTATGGAGGGTTGTTGTAGAATGAAACTGGAACTTGGCTATGGGGATACTATGGTAAACTAGGCCACTGCTCTAGTCTGAAAGCTGAATTATGGGGCATATACAGGGGTTTCACCATCTTCTTTCAAAAAGGCACCATGAATGTGGTAATTGAAACTGATTCTGCCTAAGCTATCACACAACTCCAGGATGGACCAAGCCATAACTCACCTTATAAGGACCTTATTGAAGACACCAAGTTTCTCCTGAAAAAATGCAACTGCTCCATCAACCACTTCTTCCGCGAGGGGAACAGAGTTGCCGACAAACTAGCAAATTTGGAAGTAGCCCAACATGACCATGTGGTAGTCTTAGAAGATCCACCTGAAGAAGTGAGATCTCTAGTCATAGATGACATGATTGGAGTTAGTCTTGTGAGGGACTGACTTCTTGAATTGTAAGGAAACTTTAACTTCTATAGGTTTCTCTTTCATTTGAATCAAAAAAAAAAAAAAAAATTGTTGTTGTCATCTTTCTTCTTCTTCTTCTTCTTCTTCTTCTTCTTCTTCTTCTTTTTTTTTAATTCATAAAAATATATATTTAATTTTATTTATTTTAGTATTTACTAATCATTAATTTTATCGTTTTAACCTTACTAAAAACAAAATTAGTATAATTATGTTAAATTTATGGGACTAATTATATTTTTCTCATACCTAAGGGAAGGTAAGTATAATTTATCATAAAATTAAATACAAAATCATGTGGTTGTTTTGAAATTTATTATTTTGTAACATAGAGCTCATTA